CAAATGTTGTATACTGAACCCTAACTGGGATCCCTATTCTTATTAGTTGCCATGGTCTGCATTCTTCACTTTGCTTCAGTGGAAATACCCATATAATGTGCTTGGGGTATCTCAGGCATCCAGCCAATTTATCATCAAAAAACACAAATACTAGCAATAATGCTGCCCTTACAATGCGATTTGTTTTATAAAGGCACATTCAGAAAAAAAGAATATTAACAAATTAGCGTTTTGCCACTGGGGGCTAAAAAAAAAAAAATTATGTATATTCCTTATTCCCAGTACTTTGAGTGACTTACCATAACATGCTTTAATTTATGCTGATCAGCATTTACTTACTGCATGCTTGTTCTGAGTAAAGCTGGGTATCTACTAGTAATTTGTTTAAGTCCTCCTTCCATGCTAAACAGCGTTTAGTATATTATATTTTGACAGTTGACCCAGTCTGCTTTAACCACTTGAAGACCGGGGTGTTAAACACCCTTCCTGTCCAGTAAAAGTCAGTGCTGAGGTACTTTGACATTTATTCAGACATGCGATGGTATACTGAAATTAATTTTATATCATTTTTTTGGGGAAAGATAGAGCTTTCTTTTAGTGGTATTTAATCATCACTTTGGCTGTTACTTTAGAAAGAAAATACCAAACATTTTGAAAAAACTTTTCCCATATAATATAAAAATATAAAAGATGGGGTTGTGTCAGGTAAATAGATACCAAACATGTCAAGCCTTAAAATTGCGCATGTAAAAAAACAAACAAAAAAAAACGACTAAACCCAAAATTGTCCATCAGTTTAGTGTTAACACTGATTAATGTTCCTAAAATTATTGCTCTCAAGACGTTCAAAGTAATGTGTGGCGCCATAGTCATTCACTGTAGGAGCACTGGGCATTTACAGTAAATGGGGGTGAGAAACGTAAGTTTACACTCTACTTTATTGCCAACAAGACCCTTATGCGATAGCACAGATACAGGTCCTCTTTATGGAGACGGAGGGTTTATTAGACCTCTGTCACCTATGGACCCCAAAGAAGCTTGTTTTATCAGCTCCTCCAGCTATAGCAGCCAGAGAAATGACACCTAAATGGGAAGTGAAGTAACACATCACTTATGTCTAGTAATCAGGAGGGTTTTTCAATTGAAGTATGTCAAGGGGAGCTGGCAGACAGAGCCACTCACTAAGCGAATTTCAGCCATTTTACCAGGAACTGGATAAAATTCACTCAGTGAATAGCCAAACTTTAGAGAGTTGAAAGAAAACTGGGCAGCTAGCATTTCCAAAAAGTAAACAAGGACAGCTTCCTTATTTTTAACAGTACAGGTTTCCTTTAAAGCCAGAGTTCCCGATCCACCTCTGTGCAAAGAGATACAGGGATTATGGAGTATGTTTTTAATACACAGGCAATCAAAGGATACCTGCCATATCTACTTATGTATGCAGTTTATAGTTCTGGCCTACATTGCATTTTTAAACTGCAGAGCATTCATCACATTCCTTAAAGGCGACAATAAAATATGGAATTTCAGTATCACCATTATAAGCACACAACCAAGCGCAAGAGTATGCTTGCACAATTAGATACCAGTCAGTCAGGTTTTATAGTTATATATGGTGGAAGTTTGCAAATAGCCAGGAGGAAAAAAAAAAAAAAGTTTAAAAAAAAAGGCGTATTTTTCTGAGTGCAATAGTGCCTAGTGAAAGCTAAAAATCATAGCAGTAAGCCTCAGTAGCTAGCAACAAGATGACATAATATAGGGTTTTTTCTATTTAAACGTTGGGATTTTGGTTAAGCCTTTCCTAGAATCATTTACTCTATTTGTTTTGTGTAAACAAGATCTGCCATAAAGTGCCTTGGTGAATGACTAGGATATATTGCTTTGCAAATGAGTTCCCTCTCACACACAACACTTGTCTATACCATATCCAGGTGTCATTTGCATACAAAGGGTCAGTAAAAACAAAGTCTTTGCTTCCTTTAACATAAATAAATAAAACCTATTCACAAATTTGTATGTAAACAGTCACACACCTCTGCAAAAACACATTGCCATCTACCGTTTTTAATTAAAAAAGTGCTTACTCTGCCCCTTTCTGGGTTATAAATAGGATGTCAGCCAGGTATGCATCTAAAAATCACGATATTTTGATCAGCGCCAAGAAAATGTCAATGTATTCACAGTATCGAATGACTTCCATCAATAAAACAGAGCAAAGTGCACCACTCATAGAAGACAGGTTCTAGCTTGTAATTGACTGCCATTTACCATTTATAGTTAAAAAGGTGTTACACTGACCGTTTCTGGGTTAATAAGATGTCAGACAGGTATGCATCTGAATATTCCCTTTTGTGAGGCAACATTTGGATAAGCTCCAGGAAATGTCTATGTATTTAGTGGATCAGTAAAACAGTGCAAGGGTTAAAGTGCAATACTCACAGGAGACCAGTTCTAGCTTGTAATGGGCTGACTTTAGAAAAGTGAATCCTAGTTTGTTACCATGCGTTACTATACTTTGTTAAAGCTTAGCCAGTTGACATCCGCGGTGTTAAACCCCTTTCCCATCCAGGCTATTTTTCAATGCAAAAAGCAGTCAGTATTTCTGCTTTAAAAGCTTGAAGCTTGTTTAATTGCAATCAACTAAGGTAAATATTTTTATCAATTCCAGACAGTATTTCCATGTATATTTATATTGATTAGTGTGGCATAGCGGGCTTTATTTTTCTGCAAGTTTACCAGCCTGCTCATACCAGACTGAGTATTCAATCAACAGCACAAGTAACAGTGAAAACAAAAAACAGCCAATCACATTTCACTTTACTGAAGTGAGACCAACACTAAATGGATTATGATTGTTTGCTGAGGGTACTGCAGTTTGTGCTTTTCCATTTGTGCTATTTTACTGAATAAGTACACACGGATTGATTTAGTAACTGCTACATCAAAAGGCAAACTTGGGTACATAACCCCAAAGGTATACTGCCTGAAAACATTACAGCTTCTATTTTACAGCTATAGTCATGTCCCTGTAGGCTGGCTTTACACCTTTGGGTTGGAGGAATGTGCTGTGGAACCCCAACACACAAAAGTAGACCTAAACACACCAGATGTGAATGCCCCGCGCATTATAGTGCTCTGCATTGTGAAAAAAGTGCAGGTGCTTTGTGTGAATGGGCTGCCTTAATGCAACATGAAAAAGCAGCATGAACAAATATCCAGAGCACAACATTCAAACCTTTGTTCCACAACAAGTCAGAATGTGGAAGGGCAATGCCACACCAACTTTATGAAGCGTATTTGCTACCAAATTCATATTATTGTGCCAGTATGTGATCTTGAAGAATCCACTGTGGAGGAAATGTAGACACTGAATTGACAGTCCATGAATACATTTGTCAACACAACCAGCAAAACCACAGATCTTAGTCCTGATTTGCAGTATTGTATTAAATTTAAAATGTGGAATTAGAACTTTTCAATTACCCCCACAAGCAGAAAATAAATGTAGCATATGGTTATCAAATAAATTCATACACAGCACCACAAAGAGAAAAAAGCAAATTCCAGTTTCTGCATACTTCTAAACGCAAAAAATCACACTCCCGACAAACCCAACATCTTGGAAGGAACATTATTAGCTGGGAAAACCTAACCCAACAGTCATACTCGCTCATTCCCATCCAGATCAATAAGCAGGGAGCATCTCCTGCTGTATAAAAAATATCCATAGACACTGTTGCCATTTAATGCCTTAAGCTGGCCACACACTACATTCAGACAGTATAAACTTAGATTCCATGAAAAACCATGTAGTGCGATCAAACGTTAAACCATTGTTAGTAAATCGAAAATGCACCTTTCAATCTGATTGCAACATTCACGAACAGCTGAGATGCCCATAGAGCGGTACGATCTTACCATCTCCCAATATCTGTGAATGGTATTGGTTTGGTACACTTAGCAGTAATGGAGAGAGTACAAAGAAGGAAAGCAGGCACAAATATCTTCCAGCACCAAGTAAAGCTAGAGCAATCAGATAGAACTTCCAAAACTAATCTAATCACCATTTCTCAGGCAACTCATGAATAGAAGCATCTGCTCATCCCCCTTATTCATCCCCCTTATGAATATAACCACAACAGCTGGTTAGGACAGTGCTTTTCCCGTGTCTATGGATACCTTTTAAATAGCAGGTGAATGGGCAACCACAATACAACTGTTTGTAGCACATTAAACCCAAGTGTCAGGCACTCAGTAAATCTGTAGAGAAATAGGGGGCTCTCATTTACCATTTTCCAAAATTGCTGGTTGCCTGGCTGTTAGGTTAGTGTCATCCTAAAAGCAACAAACCTAGAACACTACACAGCTCAAAAATGTCAGAAAAGTCACAAGTCCTAGTCTGCATATTTGTTCCAGGTCAAAGGACTCCAGGTATTAAACCAAGAAGGGTTAGTATTAGTCAGGCAACTAGCAATTTCAGAAGGTGGTAAATCACAGCCTCTGTGCTCCTTTATAGACAGGCTTGGGGAAGGAGTATGCAGTGAGCAAATGGAGGTCACACCCAGAGAGCAGTGGGCCAACATAAGATAGTGGTTTATGACTCAATGAGACTAACAGCTGGATTAAATAAATGTGTGCGCAGCCATTGCCACCCTCCTGAAAATGATAGATGCTTGGCTTTGTCAGACTTCAGTAGTTATCAGTTACAGACCTGGAACAAGCATACAGTAAATGTGTGTCAGACAAAATGCCAGAACTACTCCCATCTTTCTGGGTCAGGGATTAAGACAGCATTGAGGTGCAACCAGCACAATGACTGCCAAGGAAGCATTTAAAAAAAAATAATTTTGGGAGGGGAGGGCCAGCAACAGCAGCCTCCAATAAGCACTGATGACAATCACTTTAAGCAATCACCCTCATGTACATATGCTGCTTAAGAGTTCCTGAAAACCATGTTTTCCCTAAGGCGGTTTAAAAAAAAAAAAATCCAAACTAGATTAGTGTACTTTGCAGCTCTTTATTGACATTGGCAAATTAAAATAGAATAACTTAACAAGTATTTTCTCAAAAAAATCTTTGTACAAAAATACTGTCAAAATTTCCTAAAAAGCTTTTAAACACAGTAGTATTTTTCCATGAACTAAATTAACTAGATTAGCACAGTGTCAAACATTTTTGGGGAAATGCAGTTGTGAAATGTTTTACACTGATTACATTCCACCCTTACTGTTTTTCTGTACATGGGTGAAACTCTGATAATTAGGAGGGGGAAGGAAGAAAACAATAAAAATAAAAAATATTCAGTTATACCAGTAGGACTTTCTGATCTGCCAAAGCATGGCCCCTGTTAAAACTTCCAGTTACAAAAATAACACAAAAAAGTGCACAGCAATGCATAGATTAAATGAAGCAAGATGGCAGCATTAGTGCAGTAACAATCCTGCCATTAAGGATCATGCAACCATCAGCTCGATCTCACGTTGATACAGTCCAGCAAAACAAACTGAAAATGGACTTAAGTCTAAAACACCATAAAATGGCTGACTTAGACAGGAGACAAATAGAAACTGCTGAAACACACTATTGCAGGAAAAAAGTGTCTCAAACAAGGCAGTAGGGAAAATAAATTGGGAATCACTAACAGCTTACTCTGTTCGGCTGTTGTTTGCAAACAAAGTCTGTCATAAAATCAAATTCATTCTGTCCGAGCCATAACTCAGGTAGTTCTTTAATACGATCCAAACCCATTTCTATCACCAAGGACATTAGAACTTCCTCATCTATAAAGTCTGTGTCTATGACACTAGGAGGCAGCATCGCTGCAGGGACATGGCTGACTGAAGGAGGCATACCAGAGCTGTGCTTTGGATTGCAGTCTCTGAAATGCTGGCTTGTCCCATTTATCTGATGATTTGCAGGATGCAAGTCCGGCATATAGTGGTTATGTTGATACGGATGATGCGTAAAATATTGATTGTTCAGTTTCTGAAGCTGCATGCTAGCAGTAAGCTGAGCTGCTTGACTTGAAACAGAGGGTCCCATGAATTGTGAACTGTTAAATCTTGCCGTCTGTGCCATGCTGCCATTAGGATGCCCTCCATTTACATTCCCAGCCACCATTGCGTGCCTGATACTGTTATTAGAGTTTAGATTTCCTGCACCATAGTGCATGTGTTCCCCCATTAGGCTGTTAAAGGTGTGCTGCTGCTGTTGCTGCTGCTGTTGCTGGTGGTGATGAGGGTTGGGGAACTGACCCATACCCATCCGATGAGCAGGGTGGTGGTGAAGACCATTTGTTCCATCTGGAAACCGGCCATGATTCATTGCCATTAAATGGTCTGCCATTGCACACCTGAAAAGAGTACATAAATGTTAGTTCTGTAGACCATACACTAAACAATGTAAATCTATACAAGGCATCCTAGAAACCATCACTTTATGCAACGATAGATTAAGCCATTGCAGCAAATGGCACTTCTGCATAAAACATGCACACGTAACAGAGCAATACTATGCATTTATATTTATCTTAAAGATCCCCTTGGTCATCTGAGCCAATTTCCTGCATTCTGTAGCCAAACGCGTCTGCTGCTACTATTACGTACAAATTGCAATCCTTAAATGCCCTTTAAAAATTTACAAAATCCTCCGAAAATCATTTGCTCACATGATGGGATTAAACCAGCCAAGCTCAGCCCCATGACGTATGGTTATAACAATGTCATCGACACATTGCATTTTCTAAACACTGTTATACATTCACAGCAATACATTAAGTACCTGTAATCTTCTGCAGCTACACCAGCCCCTTAAACACTGCCATTAAATTGGATTGAGCAGTCTTTAAACCGCACCGATCAGTGACTTCAGGAGTAACAAGACAACAAAAGCTCTGGAGTAATGTGTGCACATATCACAACATTTGTGTAAACGGATATATCATAATAAAGAGAGTCATTGTCTCAAACTTCAGCCATACATGACAAATTATACAAAAAAAAGAGAGCTGCCTCTATACATACCGACTGGAGAGCAGGAACCAAGGAAGAAGGCAGTTAACAAGGGTCTCAGGCAACAATGCAAACAAAGGTACTACATAATGTGCCCATATGCTGGGTGCAGCAGCCTAGGTGGGATTATTTAAAGGGGGTTCATACAAACACTTATAAACAAGTAATGCAGAAACACCAATAAACCTGATCTGTACTATAAACCAACAATCAAAAAGGCAGCCATAAAGGAGGGGGTGGGGGATGACACAGACCCCTCCAATGACCCAAACACTGTACATAAACTGCTTACTTTGATAACTTACTGATCCAACAATCC